ATATATATATGTGTGTGTGTGTGTGTATATATATAATGATAAAATAACCAAAAAAATCTAGTTTGATCAAATAAAACATCAAACCTGAAGTTGCTGAGAGGTTTCTCTCCAGAAGGGGGCGCCAAAGATCGCTGCTCGTGGTTTTGTGGCGTTCATGCTGTTTCGTGCACGACGTCGATTAAATTCGACTCGAGACACTTTTAAAAAAGTTTCCATGAATATTCCACCTTCTGTTTGATGATGGGTCTCATCAAACATCAACAAACACACAGGTAAGTTGTGCTGTGAGTAATGTCTGTAGGAAAGGGCCAAGCTGACATAAATCATCCATTAGCTCCTCCACAACTAGCTGCAGAAGTGATGAGCTGAATTTTTATGGCTTTATTTGTTATTTGAACTGGAATTTTTAAGCTACAAACAACAARATTATATATCTCAAATTTAAAAACAAATTACACAGAGCAGTTAGGTCACAACTTGCACTTTACCTTTTTTAAAATTTTTCAAGAATTGAAACTTCAATGCATTCACTGATTTTAAAGGGACTCATTGCAAAGTATGAAATCAAACATAAGTTTTTTTTTTATCTTGAAATATGTTGAATAGTTCACTTGGAGAGAGCTTACTTAAGTAGTTTTTCAGATATATTTAACATTGCATACATTTTTTTTGAAATGTGGGTCTGCATTAAATATAACAATGCACCAGACTGAACCAGCTGAAAACCACTGTAGTCCACWTGTGCCATGTGAAATTAAAATGACAATTAAGCTGTTTTAAGRTGACAACAATCCACTTGATGTTGCTTGGATGAGTTATTTTGCTCATCCAGTCAGAATTTTACTTTACCAACACTACAACAGGTAAGATTCATGTTTAGAGGGTKCTTTTGCACAGAATTTAGCTATCTGAACCAATGCAAAAATCAAAGATACGCAGTCATAAAGAGAGGAGTWTTTAACGAGTGAGGGCTGTAAATGGAAAAAGCTTTGCTGAATATTAAAGTGAAACAGGTGAGTGAGGACGATAATGAAGAACGTGTCTGAGACAGGTACAGAATCAAGGATATGACTAATTTGCATACCGTATCAAACCATTCAATAAAGTGCTTTAGGTTCAATACACACTTGTATCGAACAATACACTTTTTAAATTTATTTCATCAACTTGTCTTCTGAAGATGCTCTGCGTTGAAGGATCAGTGGATCTGTGTTCGACTACTCCACCTAGGCTGCATTTTTAAGCGCAGATCCACTGAGAAACTTGCTGTTTCAGCAACATTTAATTTAAAAATTGTACTTTTGAGGTTCAACAAATGTTCAGAATTAATTTAAATGAATTACAAGTTAAAAGGGGCATGGAGGAAATGTCTCTTTTTTTGTATCGAAAAAATATCGAACCGTGAGACTAAAGTATCGAACCGAACCGTGAATTT